CTACCCTGCCGTAAGCCCCCCACAAAATGTGTGGCTATTATGCGTTCTAACATATATATATAGTGGTGGGTTCTAACATTTTACGCACTATATAGAATATTAACGTACTACTTATTTTTTGTAATAACAAGCCGGTAAAGTTGGAACTATTCTAAGTAATTTTTTAAAAAATAAGTAGTGGAGGTAGAAAGTAACTTTAAAATTTTAAATGAAAATTTTAAAAATAAAAAAAATTAAAAAGATCATAAAAATAATAACAACTTTCATTTTGTTGCACAAAACAAGCCGTTTCTGTTAACCTGCGGTTAGCAACTATAACGGAGTCTCAAAACTCACAAATTTCAGTAAAGTTGAGATTTTAGATAATTTTCCTTTAAAAAGCAAGAGATGTAAAATATAAAATTACAAATTTTGGAATATTTCTTTACAAACAACATGATTATATATCTTACTACTTTTTTAACATTAATATCACCGATATTCTTTTACTTTTCAAAAATAATGGGAGGGGAGATTTTTCAGCATCAGAGGAACACATATTTTCAATTTGTTGAAAAAACTAAATTTCAAGTTTGGCGAGTTTATTGCACCGACGTCCTCTGTGATATGGTAAATATGCACTGTTATCCCACATGATTTAAAAACTTACACCGTTACCTCTTTTGGTTTTGATATTGTTACGCCAATACACACCTAGACAAAAATATTCTTGAAATGTTAGGTGAATAACTCTTCTACCCCTTATGGTTTTGAAAATGGACACCAATGTCCCCTCTCCTTTTTCCTTATTGTTTTTTTCTTTTCTTTTTTTCATAGAGAGAAGAAAAATGTTTTTGTGGGAAATAATGAAAATATTGTTTTTTCAAACCTACATTTTAAAAAAAGTTTTAAAAACTAAAAAAATTCTTGTGTTAGAAATAAAAAATAAAATAATAAATTTAACATATCTTTCATCCGTCTCTAAGTATTTGTCCATTTTTGACTTTTTTCTTTCAAAATTCGTAAAATTTGACTTCAAGTTAAATAAAAATGATATTAGATATTGATACAAAAATAATTCTATTAGATTTATTATATGAAATATTTTCAAAATATTATTTTATCTTATTAATATGAAATATATATTTTACTTAGGGACGGAGGTAGTACTTCATTTAATTTGTTAATTTAAAATTGATTGACTGAAAAAAAAACAAAACTGGACAAATAATTAGGGACAGAGGTAGTACTTCATTTAATTTGTTAATTTAAATATTTTCATTTTTTATCTAACGAAGTTATTATATTTTTGAATATGTCGGGACAAAAAGAATACTGAGTGTCATTTTGTAATATATAGTTAATTATATATTAATAACATTTTTTTGGACCAATGCATGAATGCACCAAAGATTTTCTTCATGACTTAATTTTTCCTATTTCATAAAAGTATTCTGTTAATATACTTTTCTTTTTCTTCATTTTCTTTTCTATTCTTTTTTATTTTATTTTAATTTTAATTAAAATAAAAAAACGGTATATAATTAATGAACAAAAATTGAGAAATGAGCTTTAATGAAAAAATATTTCATTGATTTGCATATCATGAAAATTATCTAAAAAATACCTCTTTTAGACAAAAAATGAAAATATTTAATTTGAGACAAATGAAGTGTACGTTAATTCCTGTTATTTAATTGATTTTTGTTGCAAATACAAAATATTGATTATTAAATTATAAAAAATAATTTTAAAAAGAATTTGAAAAACATTTATGAAAAATATAGTAGAAAAAAGAAATAGAATGAAAAAAAGAAGGAATGCTAGTGCCAATTTCCAAAATCATGGGGACAGTGAAACTATTCACATAATATTTAAAGGAGATTTTAGTCTAGAGGGACATTGGCGTAATAATATCAGAGCCTTGAAGGGCAACGACGTAAATTTTAAAAAACATAAAAAGATAACAATGCACATTTACCAAACTACCCAAAATTATTATGTAATAAACTCCCAAGTTCGCAATTCCACTCTTTATCTAGAAATTAGTTACTTTTCAATTGTGTTCATTAGACGTGCCTCGTGATTTTCAATGAGAAATTTGCACTAAATACGACTAAAACATAATGACTTTCCCAATGTAGGACTTAAACTTTTTCATTTTCTAAATAGGACTTAATAATGATCTAGTGGGAAAAATAATGTCCAGTAATGATGAACATTTACTTGAATAATGACTACTTTATAATGACCAAAGGTCCTACATTGGGAAATAAAAAGATATGATCCTATATTGGAAAAGTCATTATGTTTTAGTCCTATTTAGATAATTTTCTCATTTTCAATCTTGGATCCATCACTAGCCCAAACCTCCACCATTTCACCCATTGACAATAGTAATGAGCTTAAATAAAGAAATCACTATAAATAAGAGTAAATTCTAGAAAAAAGAGTTTAAATTGTGATAATCTAGCATTGTATATCGAAATTTTACAATACTTTTTGATAATGTATATAGTCATAATTGACAATATACATTTAACTCCTTTTTCAAGAGTCAAACTATAGAATTTATATTTTAGAATATTTTCAATGTTTTACTTTTATTTTTAGTTTTTTTCTCAATAAAATGTCGTTATATTTTTATTTTGTAAAAATTTTGATAAAATTTTTAAATATGAATTTTTTTTTATGTGTATATAATCTTAAAATAAAATGAATCTCAAAACATAAAGTTTTTTATAATTTTGTGTAAAATACTACACTTTTAAGATAAAAGGAGTATGCATTTGGCACTAATTTATGAATAAAGTTGAATTGATCTATCTCAAGTGAGACGCTCTAGATGTGGTTAGAGCACTGGTAATGAATGTAACGTCTAGTGGCATCATTGCATTTTTAATGCCACAGGGGTGTTAAACATCGCCCCCTAGGGCTTCATCCGGGCGTTATCGGCATTGTGTTAAACTTATAACGGGCGTTTTGCCCTATCTTCTTTAAATTAAAAAAAAACTCTTCCTCTAAACACCCACAAAATATTTTCCTCTTCATTTTTTTATTTTTAAAAATAAAACTCACAAACAAAATCTTTCTTCTTCATTTTTTTTAAATTAAACACCCACAAAATCTTTTCCTCTATCTTTTTCAAATTAAAAAAAATCAATTTTTTCATCTTTTTTAACATGAATCTCTTCATTTTTAATGTTCCTTTGTCCGGTCTCGAGTCAAGCGACCAAACGAATATAATTTGCTTTCGAGAGAAGACATAACGAGATCAAAGCTAAATATAATTTGTTTTAAGTTTTTAATTAATGTAATTTTTTTAATTAAATGTTCTTTTTTATTGAAGTTAATTATTTTCATTTAATGAATTATTTTCGTTTAAATTTAATGTCGCTTTCTTTTTTTTAATTTAATGAATGTAATTTTTTAAAATTATTGTTGTTTCAATTTCTTTAAATTTAATAAATGTATTTTTTTTAATTTTTATTTTTTCAATATAATTAAATAATAAAATAATTAAATTTTACTCCCTTCGTCCCACTTTAGATTACAATATTCTCTTTTTGTTGAAATTAAGGAAGAGTCAAATCAAATTTTTTTCCCCCAAATTACCCCCAAGTGGCCCACTCACATGGATGAATAGTGTGTGAATAGTGTAAGAGTGGGAGGATAAAAGAGTCAATTCCTTGTAAAGTTATTGACTTTGTAATTCTTTTTGGGACAAAAATGTGAGAGAATATTGTAATTGATGGGTGTATCTCACCCATGACCGGTCAAAGGATGGAACCAAATAGTTGACCGGTCAAAGAGGTTAAACTTGAGTGGAGGATCTGAACCGTCAGCGAAGGGGATAGATGATTGACCAAAAGGTTGCCCGGTATACTTCGGGTAGTATACCGGTCAAACTTTCCTATCGTCTAAATCCATCCTTCGAAGCTAGCTAATTAACCCTCAAAGACCAACCGGTGAAGTTTCCGAAGAGTGAAGGGTGTCGGCAGGAAGAGTCCAAGAGGACTTGGACTGTTGTGGCTGGCATTACTGGAGAATCAGTGGAGATACCGAAGGAACTTTTCCAAGCCAGAACACAACAAGGGCACAACCCTCCTCGCAAGATGACAAGGCAGCACAGGGACAGTCATCTCGCACCACATCAGCTGCGTGCCCTCACGTGGGCGCACGTGGCCCTTTCCCCTTAGCTTAGTATATATACCTCTTGTAACCTTAGAAAGGGGGATTCGAATTCATTCTCTCTAAACTCCCTTGTAAAAGCACCCGTGCATTCTCCGTTATAAGATAAATCAGGCTACAGGTGTTCCATCTAAAGTCCTACCGGTCAATCTGCGTGTTTTTACCTTTCTTACTTTACCAAATCAAGCAGACTATTCTAGACCCGGTCTAGTATAGTTTGACCGGTCAAGTAATTTACACCATTATTTTTGGCGCCGACCGTGGGACCGTTAAGGTTTCTTCTCCTAAACACAAACCTACCCACAAAAACACCACTCGAAATGTCTTCCAGCCAACAAATCAACGCTACTTCTGCTCAGGTGCAAGCCACCAATGAGGGTACTAGCATCCCTGTGGCTGCCACCATACCGGTCATTTCAGCCCCGGTGTTGCCTTTGGGTCTGAGCTCTGTTCCGACGGCCAGCGTGATCAGTCCCTTCGCGACCCCCGTCCCTTCCGCTGGACCGAGGGTCACATTCCCACTAAGCATGACTCAGTTCATGAATGACCCAGCCAACCTACAAGCCATCCAGGGCTTTGGCCAGGTCATGGCCATGTGCTAGCAGAGAGGGGGGATGCCTTTTCTCTCTGGTATGTTCCCGTTCGCCCTTCCAGGCGCAGGAACCATGCCCCTACAAGCTCCGATGGCGGTGACGTCGTTCCAGACGCCGATGCCGCAGCCATCACCTTTTCAGCCCCAGCTGGTCAGCACCATGGCCCCTGTAAACTTGACCAGCGCACTTAACGCTGCAGGGCCGTCGCGTCCCCCGCAAGCTACGAATCCGCAAATCACTCTTGATGGTCATTGCGTCTCAATTGAGAGCGATGACGGCGAGTGGGACATCCCGAGGGCCCACAAGAAGAAGAAAGGAAAAAACATCCGGCCAGCGACCTCCCGAAACTCCGCCTTCGAAAGGCTGGGGGATAGGGAGGAAGGCCAGAGGAAGTCAGCCAAGCAAAGGCTAGGGCAGAGCGTTGCCCATGTCAGCGCGTTCGCCCGGCTAGGCGAGGTGCCGGAGGCCGAGCCTGCCCGCACCCGGCGCTCCCGGTCTAACTGGCAGGAGCCAGCGAGGACGAGGGCCTCTCGTGAGGAAGAGGAAGCAGAGAGCCAGCCCAGGTTACCGGTGGCGAACCGGTTGACCATCCCAAATGACCGCGTCCAGCACATGGAGGCAAAACTAGAGAGGCTGGAGAAGAAGGTCGGAGAGAAGAATGACCGGGACAAACCCTTGGCGGGGTCCCCGTTCACCACAAGGGTCTATTTGACACCTTTCCCGCGAAAGGTCAAGATCGACGCCCCCAGATTCACCGGGAAGGAAGATCCGGAAATCCATCTGGATTCCTTCAACCAGAGTGCGACCATGAACGGTTGCACCGATGAAGAAAAGTGCCTTCTTTTCTTCGAGACCTTGCAGAACCGAGCCACTGAATGGTTCAATAAGCTTCGCCCGGGAAGCATTGATTCATTCAGTGATTTGGCCTCAAAATTCAAGGCCAAGTTCCTGGAGAATTGTACTAAGAGGAAGAAATTCACCTATCTTAGTACAGCCGGGCAGAGGGAGTCTGAGAACCTTACTCAGTTCCTTACCCGGTGGAAGGAAGAGGTAGACAAGGTGGAAGAGATGGATGACAAAACCGTCTTATCCCTCCTCTTGAATGGCTTGCGCGCCGGGGAACTATACAAGGAGTTCTGCCGGAAACCCCCAGCCACGTACCAAGAGGCCTACCATACTGCATGGGAGTTTGCTGAGGCTGAAACTCAACTCCGGGCGAAGAAGGAAGCCGAGCATGGTTACAAGCCCAAACCGGTTCAAGTCAAGAAGGAAGAAGCACCGGGACCTAGCCGGCCGAGGCACCACTATGACCTGGTCATCCGAATGGTCAATACGGAAGAATGCCAAGAAATCCGGAAAGCACCGGTCATTCCTCCGGAAAACCCTACCGGTCAAACAGGGCGGCAGTGGTCGGGCACCTATTGTTCATACTACAGGTCAGATTCCCATAACACCTCCGAATGTAAGAGTGTTAAGGGAGTAATCCGGCAGATGATAGACAGTGGAGAGTTGGGCAAGGATTACTTGCAGAAAGCACAAGAGAAGAGTCATCAATGGGTTAGGCCAGCTGCCCCGGGAGATGACCAGGACAACGACCGGCGGAGGAATAACTGGCCAAGGGAGCGGCAACCTGCTCCCGAAAAAGAGCACATCGGCATGATCTTCGGCGGACCTGAGGGTGGAGATTCAGCCGCGCAGCGGAAGAACTGGGTTCGGAGCATTTACGTTGGAGAGGTAAATGCTGAATCGCCCAGGCATAAACATACTAGGAGGGAGCCGATCGTCTTTACTGACCGGGATCTCCCTCCTACCGGTGAAGATCACAATGATCCATTGGTCATCACCATGAACATTAATGGGGTGGATGTCGCCCGGGTACTTGTTGACACCGGCAGCAGTGTCAACATCTTATACCTGGAGACTTTCCAAAAACTCAGGTTGTGTCGGACACAACTTGAACCCCTCAAAACCCCTCTCTCAGGCTTCACGGGAGATACGGTACAAGCCGAAGGATCCATAGTTCTACCGGTCGAACTAGGATCGGGTGAAAAAACCGTGTGGAAAAAGATGCGGTTCATAGTTGTGGACATCAAATGCGTCCACAACGCAATTCTTGGAAGTCCAGGCATCAATAAGGTCGGGGCGGTGATTTCCATGCCCCACCTATGCATGAAGTTCCACACTCCAGGTGGTGTGGATGAAGTGAAAGGCGATCAGAGGAATGCCCGGGAATGCTATGCCCGGGCAGTTAAGAAGATGACCAAGGGGGTCAATGTCATCTCCCAAGAGATCACAAAGGGAGAGACCCGGGAGAAATTGGAGCCCGAGGCCGAGATGGTGGAAATCGAACTTCACCCTGGTGATTCTTCGAGGATGGTCAGAATTGGAGCAAATCTCCCCGAGGATCTCAAGGCACAGATTACACGGGTCCTCCAAGAATACGCGGGCATATTCGCATGGAGCGTGGCGGATATGCCCGGAATAGATCGCTCTGTTATCTGCCACCGGTTGGCCGTGAAGGAAGGAAGTCGACCGGTACATCAGAAGAAGCAGTACCTGGCCAGTGACCGGCGAGACTTCGTCAAGAAGGAAGTGAAGGACCTCCTCTGTGTTGGTCACATCCGGGAAGTCAAATACCCGGATTGGCAGACCAGCGTTGTCCTTGCTCCCAAGGGCGACACGTGGAGAATGTGTGTGGATTATACGGACTTGAACAAGGCTTGTCCAATGGATTCATACCCCCTTCTCAGTCCAGATCAAATGGTGGACGAAACTGCGGGGTGCGAACTCCTAAGTTTCATGGATGCCTTCAAGGGTTATCACCAAATCTACATGGCCAAGGAAGATGAAGAGAAGACGTCATTCCTCACACCCGAAGGAACCTACTGCTACCGGGTAATGGCGTTTGGCTTGAAGAACTCGGGGGCAACCTACCAGCGCATGGTGAACAAACTCTTCAAGCCACTACTGGGAAAGACCATAAAAGCATACGTCGACGACATGCTGATCAAAAGCCAGGTATCTCTCAACCATCCGGCTGATATGCGAGCCACATTCGATATCATGGCAAGGTACAACCTCCGGCTGAATCCTAAGAAATGCGTCTTCGCGGTTCGTACCGGGAAGTTCTTGGGATTCATGGTAACCAAGAGAGGAATAGAGCCCAACCCAGAGAAAATCCGGGCCATCACTAAAATGCAAGCCCCTACCTCCGTTAGGGATGTTCAAAAGTTGACCGGTCGTCTAGCGGCCCTCAGCCGGTTCCTTTCCCGGTCAGCTGAGAGATCCCTCCCCTTCTTCAAAGTTCTGAAGAAGGCCAACACATTTGCATGGGAGGAAGGATGTCGGAGGGCATTTGAGGAGCTGAAAGAGTACCTAGCGTCGGATATTGTATTGTCTAAACCCGAACCGGGTGAAACTCTGTATCTGTATCTGGGAATTTCCCCAAGCGCTGTAAGCTCCGTTTTAATAAGAGATGATGGGGCACAAAAGCCCATTTACTATGTGAGCAAAGCACTAAACGGGGCCGAGAGTAAATATACGGCGATAGAAAAGACAGCCTATGCGCTTTTCATCTCCGCAAAAAAGTTAACATCCTACTTTCAAGCTCACCCGGTAGAAGTCTTGACTGACCAACCGCTGGGTGCAGTGTTGCGAAATTCAACATCCTCCGGGAGGATGGTGAAGTGGGCGATGATGTTAACTCAATTCAACATTGAGTACCGGCTAAGGTTGGCAATCAAGGGACAGGCCCTTGCTGACTTCCTGGTAGAAATGACCGGTCTAACTCCAGACCTACCGGTCAACAAGCCCATTGACCAATGGTGGGAGATGGGAGTTGATGGGGCATCCGGTCCTAGAGGATACGAGGGTGGAATCGTGTTCACCACCCCAGAAGGGTTCAAGATCTACCATGCAATCGTCTTCAACTTCAAGCTGATGAACAATGAGGCAGAGTATGAAGCTCTGGCTGGAGGGCTCAGACTTGCCCAAGCCCTAAAAATCAGCCGGGTCAGTATCAAATCTGACTCTAGCCTGATTGTTGGGCAAGTGACCGGAAACATGGAAGCAAGGGAAGGACGCATGGCACAGTACAAGGAGCTCGTGCTCGCCTTATTGAAAGGCTTCGAGGAATTCAAGATCGCCCAAATTCCCCGGGCAGAGAACGCGGATGCAGACCTTCTCTCCAAATTGACGCAGTATGCTCCCGAGCATGTTTCAAAACTTGCCCGGGTAGAGATCCTTGACCGTGCAAGCATCGAAAAGTTGGAAGTCGCCGCTATAACAGCCGGAAGCCAATCTGACCGGTCAAACCTGGTCGGGGCGGACGACCATTGGATGTATGATCTGATGAGATATTTGATGGAGGGGAGCTTGCCAGAACAAGATGACCGGGCAAGAAAAGTTAAGCTCAGGGCACCCCGATTCCAGGTTCTTAATGGGAAGCTGTATAAAAGGGCATTTGGGGGGCCACTCCTGAGATGCCTAACCAATAGGGAGGCGGAACGAGTCATAGCGGAAGTCCACGAAGGCGTATGCGCGACACATCAAATGTCCCGTACGCTTTCTCAACGCATCATCCTGTTGGGGTATTACTGGCCAACAATTGTCCAGGATTGCGAGAGGTTCGTTCAGAAATGCAGGACGTGCCAAGTATTCTACAAGTATCCTGGTAGACCGGCGACCTACTATCACCCCGTATCAAACGTCATCCCATTCGCTAGATTCAGGGTTGACATCATCGGAGCATTCCCAGTCGCCCAAGGAGGGAGGAAGTTCGTGATCGTAGCCATCGATTACTTCACCAAATGGATCGAGGCTGAAGCATTGGCCAACATCACCATGCAACAATGAAAGAAATTCATTTGGAAGAACATCATCACGAGGTTTGGAGCGCCCATGAACCTCATCACCGACAACGGCCCATAATTCCGAAATCCAAGGTTCACCGAGTACTTGGAGGGCTTCGGAATCAAGCACAATCGCTCCTCGGTAGCGTACCCCCAAGGGAGTGGCCAAGTTGAAAACGCCAACAGAACGATTGTGGATGGTCTAAAGAAACGACTGGGAGAAGCGGGAAACAAGTGGCTGGAAGAGCTCCCACACATCGTGTGGGCATTCCGAGTAACGCCCAAGAGGTCTCACGGGGAAACTCCATTCTCCCTAACCTATGGGTGTGAAGCAAGGCTGCCCATCGAAGCTGAATTCCCAACGTTCCGGGAATCAAATTATCAACCCCAGCAAAATGAAGAAGACCACTTGGCCGAGCTCAACTTGGTCGAAGAACGTAGAATGGCCGCAGAGGTTAAAATGAGTACATACCAACAAGTTGTGATGAAGTACCATGACAACAAGGTTGGGCCGCGGTACTTCCAAGTTGGAGATGAAGTCCTACGAAGAAGAGAAGCAAGTAGACCCGGCGATGGGGGAAAGCTGGCAAAAAACTGGGAAGGCCCATACAGGGTTAAAGCCATCATTCGACCAGGAACGTACCGGTTAGAAACTTTAGATGGTGTACCGATAGAAAGAACTTGGAATTCCCACCATCTTCGCAAGTTCTACAAATGATTTTAATACTAGGCGATGCCTACTACATTATCAATCACAGTGATGTTCAATACTCTACTTGGTAGCGGCATAATTGATAGGTCGAACCTATCCTAGGAGGGCTTCCTAGGTGGATCGAATCCACTTGGATAAGCCAACTGAGACACAGGCCCGGACCTGGCACGCTGGTTAATACACCGGTCTTGCTCAGTATAATAGAAAAAATATTAAAACCCGGAAGAGGGGCCCGGAAGAGGGTATGCCTGCAAGAGGGCTGGACCTGGAAGAAGGTTTGAACCGTACTTACACGGGCCCATGAGGTTTGACCGGTATCGGGGAATCAGCCGGTGCCGTCAAATTGATTGGGGACTAAAAGATGCCCATTAAAAGAAATAGAAGGGTATCGTCCACCGTGGCGCATCCTGTTTCCCCCTTCTCAGGGAAGACTTGAACGGGGGGNGGATAGTAGAAATCAAAGGGCCATTAAAAGACTTAATCACCCGGAAGAGGGGGCCCTGGAAGAAGGGTGAATTTGAACCTTGGAGAAGGTTCGAAACCATTCGACATGGTTAAATCTCCAGTATTCTTACCGGTTAAGGATACTTCAAGAATTACTAGGGTACAGGTGTTTCTATCTACAGCCTACCGGTCAAAAAAAAAGGAATACCCCGGTTGGGTATTGACACAATAGAACTTCAAAAGTTCTACAAGGCAAAGTACTTGGCCGGCCAGACCGTGGAGAAGGAGCCTACCAGTCAAACGATACTTTATCGTTAAGGCAAAATGAAGTTTAGTCGGTCAAACTTTTTTAAGTCGACCATGAAGATGAAGACATTCGAGAATAAAAGTTGGAGTTTAACCGGCCAGAAATTTTATGAAGAGATTCTAAGGAACAAGAGCAAAGTATCAATCAAGAGGCAAAGGCAAGATTAACCGGGTAAGCAAACAAACATTGCATTTAACAAGACAGGAGAATGTCAAATGTTTACAAGTACGCCGGGCATACCCGGGGAAATTTCAAGTTTGGAAATTTTACAAAAATAACCGGGCGCAGCCGGGGAGTTCATTCCAAAGGAAAAGGGGGCTTGGGTTCCTCACTGGGGATGGGAGCCAGGCCGTAAGCGTCGGTAGAGAAGGCTAGGTCCCGTTCAGCCAGGATTGTGTGGGTAGCCTCCCGGTCTCGTTTCTGGCCAGACATAAAGCCGTAGGAGCCAATCTGGGTGATCATCTCTTTCCCTTGCTCCTCTCGGTACAATAGCCTGAAGCCCTCCATGGTCCTCTCCCAGAAGAGGTGAGAACCCGGGCAGCTTCTACCAGATTGTCCTCCATCCACCGGCGGGCCCTACCGAGAAACTCACGTTCCTTCGACTCCAACTCCTCCATCAGCTTCAGGTTCTCTTCCTTCAGCTGGAGAGTTTCAGCCTTGGCCCCCCCGGCAATTGCTGAAAGGTTGGCCATCTCATCTAACTGCCGGGCCGTCAGGTCCTTGAGCTCCCGGTTGTGGGCCTCGGATCTCTTCAACTTCTCTTCCAGCTAAGCCAACCGGGAGGAGGAATCTTCGGTGAGTTGCTCCAAGGCGTCAGGCCTAACTTCACCCATCTACATATTGAAAAGCATACCGGTTAGTACAATGATCAAGTGACAAATTCAAGGGAACATGCCGGATAAGTGTTACCTCTTTCAGCTTGAGGGTCAATTTGACCCAGAGCTCCTCCAGCGATTCCTCAGCCGGAGAACTTTCCTCCCTTTTCCTCTTCGACGCTGGATGGGTGGTGGCGGCCTTCTTCATACTCATCTTCCCCTTTCCCTTGTCGAGGGGAGGATTCACCGGGGCGTTCTTGGCCTGAGCATCTCCCCCGGTTGGAGGCGTTTCCTCCTCCGAATGGATCTCCACCGGTTCCTGTTGGACCGGTACAGTTTTGGGGGCAGCAGAGGAAGAGCCACCGGTCCTCTTCGTTGGGATGTTGAATGCTCAGAAATTCATCCCTGCAGAACAAGCAAAAATATAATGTTCGAACTTTGACCGGTATATTAAAATGGAGAAAAAAGGGGAAGGAAAGGTACCTGGGTGGCTGGAGCCCCCGGCCTCTGCAGTGTTGCCCGGGGCGGGTACCCCGTGCCCCGCTACTTCGTGAGCCATAAGGGTACCCTGGCCACCCGGTTGGATCCGCCAGATCCAAGCCCCGTAGTGAAACATTTGCCCGGTGAACGGGTCGCCTCAGAGAAGCTTCTCTAAACTCTCTTCCAAGTCTTGGGCGGTGGCCGGCTCGGTATACTGCGGCTTCAGGATGTGGTCATTCCATTGTATGCCGGCCAAAGGAGAGATCGTGGGAAATTTTATGAAAACGAATTTTTCCTTCCACAACCGGTTGCTTTACGGAAGGTCAGAAATGAATTGGCGACCGTTACGGCCTTTGAAATAGACGTAACCATCGCAACCCGACTTACCAGGAAGAACTTCAAACAAATAGAGGAAAAAGCGAAGAGAAGGGTCGATTTTGAGATGGGTACAGATATTTACAAAGGCATTAAGGAAACAGTGGGCATTGGGCGTAATTTGCCCGGGAAGGATCCTGAAACAGCGGCACAACTCGACCAGGAGGGGGCGAAGGGGGAAGACAGTGCCACTCTCTAAGGAAATGATATGGAACCCTACCCTATCATCCCGGTGGGGCTCGATGATGTTGGGCCAGTTAGGGTCGTATTCAAGGACATACCCCTCCGGGAGGTTCCTACGGGCCTTATTTTGGGCGATCTTGGAAACGTGGGGGTAGATGTCTGAAGGGTAACTGGTAGGAAGAGGAGACTAACCGGCTGCTTCCAGCCGGTCCACCCATTTCTCATACGACTCATTTTCAGGGTCGTAGGGGGCTGGTTCGTCTTCAACCGGTGCATCCCCCTCCTGGAAACTCTGACCAGTTTGGTTTGTACTCTGACCGGGCATTTGGTTTACCGGCCGCGGTCCCGGGATATTGGGCTTGGGAACCGACCGGGGTCAAGGACGGGTGAAGATGACCCGGTCGACGAAGAGGTAGACGGGGATTCCTTAGATGCGTGGGCATCTGAGGTAGAAATGTCTTGGCTATCAGAAGAAGACATTGACCGGAGAGAAAAGCTGAGAAAAAAAGAAGGGGAAGTCGAAAAAAGGGAAGAGGCTTACTTGACTCGGAGGGCTGGAGAGCGAGAGCAAGGACTTGACCGGTAAGATCCTGAAGAACGCGAGATCGAAAAGTGAAGGAGAAATGGGGTTGGAAGCCTTTATATAGGTGAGGAGAGATGGGAGAGGGGCGACGTGGCTTCACCAGGGCGCGCCGCGTCAGGCGGCGCCATCATTGCGCCTGGGAAGACGAAAGAATGCGGGTCTGACGCCGTCCAGCAGACCACACGTGTCAGAACAGACACTTTTTGAATTTTGAATCCAAATGTTTTGAGCGGGAAAGGCCGAAATTTCAAAATTTGAAGACTTGTCTCAGATTTTTACTTCCCGCTTATGTCACGATTGCATAACCGAGAAGTGGAGGGCTTATTGATGGGTGTATCTCACCCATGACCGGTCAAAGGATGGAACCAAATAGTTGACCGGTCAAAGAGGTTAAACTTGAGTGGAGGATATGAACCGTCAGCGAAGGGGATAGATGATTGACCAAAAGGTTGCCCGGTATACTTCGGGTAGTATACCGGTCAAACTTTCCTATCGTCTAAATCCATCCTTCGAAGCTAGCTAATTAACCCTCAAAGACCAACCGGTGAAGTTTCCGAAGAGTGAAGGGTGTCGGCAGGAAGAGTCCAAGAGGACTTGGACTGTTGTGGCTGGCATTACTGGAGAATCAGTGGAGATGCCGAAGGAACTTTTCCAAGCCAGAACACGACAAGGGCACAACCCTCCTCGCAAGATGACAAGGCAGCACAGGGACAATCATCTCGCACCACATCAGCTGCGTGCCCTCACTTGGGCGCACGTGGCCCTGTCCCCTTAGCTTAGTATATATACCTCTTGTAAACCTTAGAAAGGGGGATCCGAATTCATTCTCTCTAAACTCCCTTGTAAAAGCACTTGTGCATTCTCCTTATAAGATAAATCAGGCTACAAGTGTTCCACCTAAAGTCCTACCGGTCAATCTGCGTGTTTTTACCTTTCTTACTTTACCAAATCAAACAGACTATTCTAGACCCGGTCTAGTATAGTTTGACCGGTCAAGTAATTTACACCATCAGTAATCTATTTCGGGACGGAGGGAGTATTAATTTAGTTTTAAAAGATGTATATTTAAAAATGTAAAAAAATGAAGGTTTGAAGCCCCAGTTTGAAGCCCTGGGGCTTCAAACTCATTTTTACTGAATCTGTAAGGTAAGTTAAAACTGACGTGGCAAAGAGAAAAATTTTGAAGCTACAATTTAAACCTCGGGGCTTCACGGGTATTTCCCGTGCTCTTAATCCTACCAAATGTGTCACACATTCAACGTTTGCTAGGCAGCAGTCGTGTAGGTTGTAGGATTCTCTTTTCGGTCCCCAGATCTGTAAAACAAAATGATTACTTTGCTTTTGTTTTTGATTTGTAATCGAATCTTTCTTTCCCATTGATTATTATACACATCCCGTTCAAAAAGAATTTAAAAAAGGAGTGTACAGTCAGGTAATACGCATTTTTGAATGGGTCATGTTACACTTACACCAAAAATTGTATCTCATTTGTACATTATAGTTATACACAAACATTATGATGATTTATATCGACACAAGTGTTAGTGCATTAACAAAAATTTACACGGATACAAAGTGTTAGTGCGTTAACAAAAATTAGTTTTACACCAACACAAAATGTCGGTGCAAAACTGCGGTGTACAAATGGGGTACAAAAATTTGGGGTACAAATACCTTTATCCTTTTTGAATAGAAATATTTGCACTAAATAGCACTAAAACTTAAGTCATTTCTCAAAATAACATTTAAATTATTTTATTCCCTAAATAGCACTTAATAATGTCCATAATGACCAGTGATGACAAATATTTACTTGAATAATGACTAATGGATGATGACTAAAAGTGCTACATTGAGATAAAAAATACATGTAGTGCTATTTAGGGAAAGTCATTATGTTTTAGTGCTATTTACGTAAATTCCTCTTTTGAATATAGTAGTATTCATTTTATACAAAGTACATGTATTCATTTTGAAGTAAAATAATATTTCTTTTGAAATAACGTGATGTTCATTTTGAACCAACATAGTTCTTGTTCTGAAATAATATAGTCTTAATTTTTACACATTTGTTTATTACAATTATAATACTCATTAACGAAGAATGAACTATTCATTCTGAAACAAAATAATACTCATTCTCAAGTACGTGCAGTGATATTCACTCTCAAGTAACGCACTACTTAATCTTTCCGATTTGAAAAATGTAGTCCACTAGTCTAATTAAACTTACAGTCAACAATAATCACCTTCATCGCATCACATCTACGCTCACTACTACAAATCTCAGCGAGGCTTCTTCACCCACCTAGACGCAATCGCTGTTAGTGTAACACCCTAATTTGTTCAGGTCTACAGCCCCTTTCGAGCTAAAGTATTAACTTGGTAATCGCATAATTTAAAACATTTCAAATAACTTTATTCATCATAAATAAAATTCCAAACATAATTGTAGTAAATACGGAGTGTTTAATAATAATGCGGAAGCGACTTTTAAACTTGTCTCATAACAACATAATCATTTATTTTATCAATAAATCCACCACGACTGTCTCGCCCCTTCCGCTGCCAGCAACATGCCATTCACTCTGTAACACCCTAATCCGTCCAGGTCTGCAGCCCCATTCGGACTAAAGTATTTAACTTGGTAATCGTAAAAATTTAAAACTTTTCAAACACACTTTATTAATCCCAATAATATTTTTCATAACATATACAGTACGGAGTATTCAACAATATTGCGGAAGCGAATTTAATTTTGACATATCATAAATCATTTCAAACTTGTCACATCCATCCCGACAATCTCGCCCCATCTGCCGCCAGGATCATATTGTGCTTTCTGCTTACCTGCGTGTAGCAAATAAAACACACTACACGCTCAGCGGTAAAGCTGAGTAAGCATATCTAATGTGTCGAACATCCATATAATATGAATCTAAATTCATAATCAATCATTTGATATCATGCACACAATGTTCATTTCAGACATTCACAGTTTTGGTATTGTTCAGTTCATATCAACACATTTTATTCAATTGAGATACTATTGCAATAGTGCTCTTAAATTATTCTTAATCTAAGGCCAGATCATAACAACGCTCTTAGCTATTCTTAGTCTAAGGCCAGATCATAATAATGCTCTTAGCTATTCTTAGTCTAAGGCCAAATCATAATTTCTATAATCACATTCTTAAAAGGCAATTATTAATCAGACACTTAAACTATCATTAGTTTAAGGCAATTGATTTCGGAGACTTAACTGTAGTCAGTTAAGGCAATCAGACACTTAAACTATCATTAGTTTAAGGCAAATGATTTCGGACACTTAACTGTAGTCAGTTAAGGCAACAACAATATAGCGATTGGTCAACAATGGATCGGGCATTCCCAACGAGTAATCTTCTAGTTTGGTCTACGAATCCCATTTATGAATTTATATCTAATTCATCAACTATTCATGTTTTCATAAGTTCATTCTAAGATCTATTCTAGAGGTCTTCTAGATAGTCTTAACATTAATTAGCTAATAGGTATATCTTAAAGTTTTTCTAGATATCCTTAACAACATTATTCATCAATTCATACTCTTAGTTCAACAATCATTTCATCCAGAATATTCATCATCTTTAATCCATAATATTCATAAAAATGAATAATCAATCAATCATCATAATAACTAATAACAATCAGCGGCCTAGCATCGAGTGTTAACACCCTAGCTTACCGTCATGCATCACATAAGATCCCTTTTAGTTGTTAAAATACCATCTTTATTCCAAGAAATCATCCTTTTATTAATCATAATGGTTTGGTATCAAAATATACGATTCCATAACTCAAAAATCATATTTTCTAAATAACAATTGATTAATATATGATAGGAAATTCAATTATTAGCTATTAGCTTCATTTTCTTCAATAGTGTAGGGCGACAGTCTACTGTCACTTCTGATAATCTACTGTCTGATGTTCAGAATGGGCTGATAATCGATTATCACACTCTGATGATCGATTATCAAACTTCAGAGAGGGCTGACAGTCGATTATCACATTCTGATAATCG